ATTACCTCAACCATGAGTGGTGCCACGGTCACCTGCTTCCCAACTCTAAAACCCTCCAGAAACTTCCGGAAGACCTCCGCCGGGACAGCTCTACCAGTGAGAGACTCATACTCTTTGGAGAAGGGTTCACCAAACTCCCCGACAGTTATCTCTCCTCTTTCTAGTTTGGCCCAGGCACCTTCCCCTCCGGTCTCCTTGATGGTGTGGATCACAGAGCCCGCGCTAAGGCCTTGCTCTCTCTCGAATCGAGCAAAGACGGGAAACGGAGAGGGGACAACGACGCCTCCTACGTCGAATATGACCGCCCTTGGTCTGTTGGTTGAGCCGGTATCCGTACTTGTACTCCCGTGTCTGGTGAGCGTGGGGAAAGATGCAAAGCAGGGAGCAGTGGAGCTAGAGAAATGGCCAGTGATTGGGAAGCGAGGCCCCTGATGACCGCAGTAACGTGCTGCTTTCACTGCCAGGCGGGAAAAGGCCCGATAGGCCATAATGAGAGCTCCTGGATCGGTAGAATGGGTCAGAAAGACTCATAAAGACAGAGACGCCATGCTTCGCCGCGCCACACACACAGCAACGAGCCCCGCCCGGCCGCCCCCCTGCGCATGCGTAGCCGATTCCCGTTATAAAACAGGCCGTACTGCACTGCATGAACGAACTGAACAGACCTTGAGAAGATGCCGTGGAGAAGACCGACAGAACGTAGTGAGTTGGTCCACGTCGTGGTGACTGGCTATAAGAAGCGGAAATACCCAAGAAAGTTTTACGTAAGTTCGTCAGGGCGCAGTCTAGCTAGCTGCCTGCACAAAAGAAAAAGGTTTGACAGCGTGTCGTTGTCTGCAGGTGTTTGCGATTGACGTGACGTGGAACAACAACGAACGCTCGGAGATATACCGACGATACAGCGAATTCTTCTCCTTCCAGGTAGGTAGCTATAAACCTAATGCTAGCTGTAAAACTTCCGCCAACGAAGCACAACATTGCTGCTTCCCAGCAGAGGTTTTAGGGGCAGTATTATAGCCTAGGCTTGCTTGGCTGTACTGCATTAGCTATAATTTTACTCCACAAAACTCTACTACGTACAGACAACACTGAAGGCACTGTTTCCAGATGCTGCCGGCAAGAGAACTAAAGAGCGGACCATCCCACAACTACCAAGTAGGACTCTAGCTCTAGCTAGCTACGTCTACAGCAGGTTTTTTTAAACATGTGATTCACTGGCGGTGTTTTTTGTTGTCCGTCAGAGCGTATTTTCGTGGGTCGGAGCCACGTTGCCAAAGTGGCAGAAGCTAGAGTGGAGCAGATCAACAGATACTGTCAGGTATATATAGCTACTAACACAGTCATACTATATACAAGAGAGAAGAGTTGGGTGCCATTTTAGTGATACAAATCCTATTATATACATCATGGAAACTGATTTAATGTGATCACTATGGAATTAACTAGCTCCCCACTTGCTAATCTTCTACACTCTGACTTTTGCTCATGTTTGGAAGTTGGTGTGTGGGTGTTGGAATTGCCACTTAGCCTCAGTCATGCTTCACTCACACTATATACTCATGGAGTATATACTGCACTATCATACACTTTGTAGTGTTTCAGTATGATAGATTACACTGGGCTCGTTGTATAATATGAAAAACTGATTATTAAGTCTGTGAAATGTCGTCATCTTCCACTCAGGGAAGCCTACAACAAATATTTACGTGACTGACTGTTACTATGCCGTGTATGATTCATACAGACTCTGGTCAGTTTGGATGTGAACATATCTCAGAGCAGTCACGTCATTGGATTCTTCAGCCCTCGAATTGGAGACATTTCCCTACCCAAGTGAGTATAATAGGAAAACTATTCACCTTAAATGTGTGCCATGGTAGAAATGCATGCAAGATTCTCTTGTAATTGAGTAATTTCGAAGCAAAATACTGCAGAGAGCAACTGCAATAGCTCCCATATACTTAGCACTTCATGAATCATCACCTTATAAAAGCCAGGTAATTTGCTAGATTCGATTGGAGGGGCTCTAATGCATTGATAGATACCCTCTCAGGCCTCTGAAGTACACTGAGTTGCACATTATTACAGCAGCAAAAACCACTTCCATGGATACACTGAGCTGCAGAGCACATGTGATGGAATTTCCTTCTTCCACTTCCTAACTATTAGCCCACACCATTTATGTCTGTTTCCTTTGCAGACTTCATCTACACCGACCTGCTTCACTCCATCCCTTGAAGATCCCAGCAGGTATATAGTACATAAATAAGTAATCCCTTTAGAGCCATGCAGGGTTAACCCTCAGCATACATATATTAATGTGGGATAAATACTTGTGGTTAATGGCATAAGGTATAATCAATGACTGTGACATTAGAATTTGTACCACATCGAGTCCAAACAAGCCGCTAAAGGCTCACGCTCACAAACAGTTACTCTGAAGGAATCCTGAATTGCCGTGGGTGTGAATATACACCAATATAATATACACACAGTATAGCACAGTGTAGGGTAATGTGTGCGGTAAAGTTGTTTAATAGTGGATCCTCGCAGTCCAGGACCCACCCAAACATTGTAACTGAGACGTTTTCTCTCAAACCTTAGTTGGCATTTTGTAGCATACGCCGGTGATGGCTTCGTATCAGTTTACCGCACCCCTACTCTGTGTGTGTGATGGATGACCCAACTTCCTAGAAAGATAATACGCACAAGTGCTGCGCTCAACTCTGCCTTTATAAACTCGTGATGCCAGAGAGAGAAGTTGGGGTATGCTTTGCTGATGAGGGCTAACAAGCCCGAAACAGCTGTCCAGAGCTCCACATCTTTTTTCTCTTGGCATCACATGGTCTATTGTTACATGTTTGCAGGCATGAAGAGAAAAGCAAAATATTACAGATTTTTGTCGACTAACCCAACTGCAATGATGCGCATCCGCACTTACCTAATTAAGGAGCAATGCAGCTCGTGAGAATTAAGGGGATTACCGACCTGCTTGAATGCTGGGAACAAGATATTTTAGACATCTCTGTGTGTAGTGTTGGTTCTCAATTGCAGGGAGTTTGTTTGAGGAGTACTGTGCCCTGGCAGAGTTCCAGGGAGACGAACCCTCTCAAATCTCTTTCACCTCGGGGCAGATTGTTCTGGTGCTGGACAAAGACAGCTCAGGTACGTCTAATAACACCATGCAACACTCACTAGTGACTAGCATGAATTGATGCAGCAAATACAGCTCGGGTGAACTAATGCCAAGTCTGTAGCTCAGAATATTACGTGTGTAGTGCATGCAGGCAATAGATAAGCAGACCAGTTCTTTAATTTGAGGAATACAGGGTGTTCTTAGATCCCCTCAATGAGAATGGAGCAGATTGATAATGCTGGTGTCATACGCTATGTAACCTCAAGCTTTTTTACACTCACTGTACAGTCCTCTAAGTGCAGTAGACATTGGGCTTTAATAAAGACTTGAAGTGACTTGTGCTGGTTGGTGTGTAGGGTGGTGGATGTGTAAGGTGAACGACAAGGTTGGTTGGGCCCCGCCCTCCTACCTGAAGAAGGTGGACAAGGGAGAGAGTGGGGAGAGTGACTCGGACGATGACTATCTCGGACTCCCTGGAGGTGAGTTTCAAACACCAGCAGAGAACTAAACTTCTGAATCTGGAATCAAACACACTTATGGACGCAGATACACACACAGAGACATACTAGCTGGGTATCATCTCTGGTTATTAATGTAGAGAGAAACAATTGCATCAGACATGTTTGAGCTTGCATCATAGCAGTAACCTTGTATCCAAACGGGTCAGTCCACGGGCCTTCTACGTAAACCCAATAAAACCTCTATCAACATCGTGTTAAACCACCAACCTACTAAGTGGATTAAAATGTGTTGCTCTACTGTCTGGTAGATGTTGACTCGGAGAAAGAAGGTGGAGAAACGGACAGCGGCATCAGCACCATCGGAGAGGCCGTCAGGGACCAGATCTCTGAAGGCGGGAAAAGCTTCAACGTTCCTGAGATTGAGTTCCAGGAATACAAGGTGAAAAAACAAGACTTTTATGTCTATCACAAAGTATACTTACACAATTGGCAAACTGCACGTCGTATATAGACACTTTCTGTCTTGAACGAGTAATGGTAGTATTATAAATGACACAAAAATCCCACTGGAATCATACCAGAGTACATATTGTGTAGAGCTGGTGATGAATATGGCTATAATGTTGTTTTCTCGGTGTATACTTGCATATATACACTGCTCCCCATTAGGCGATTGACTCGTATGAGGCTCAGGGAGACGGGCAGGTCAGTTTTGAGGAAGGTGACATCATCCAAGTCCTGGACAAGATTGAGGATGGTAGGTCACACATACAGACCCCAAGGGAGACAGAGTTCTGTGCTATTTCAGGAAGTTTGTGGTATTCACTCCATTCCCTACCTCCACCACTCCATTTCCTACGCTCCACCAAAATATTGTTCCCTAAGGTTCCATCATTTCCTTCATACACATCATCATTTCCCTGTGCTCAAACTCACAAACTCACAAACGCACCAATACAGCATTTCCTGTGCTCAGCCTAAAAAACGGCACCAATTCATAAGTAGGCATCTTCCAAAATTATGCATGCTGATAGCTATATATTGCTTAGCCTCATTCCCAGGCCTCCCCCCTCCCTAGAAGTATGCTATGCAGCATGAATCATTGTGAAGGCATGAGCATGAAAGTGATGCTAGATGCCACCCGTCATTGTATGTGCATCGTAGCATTTTTGCCATGCATGCTACGCACAACATTGCCCTGTTGTGCAGTGTTGTAACAGTATCGAGTAGCAGTGCATGTATGGAATGTATTTACGAGACAAACAGCACATCAGTGTGTGTGGGACTGCCCAGGGCAGCTGGAGTATTTGCCATGTCTCCTCCCTATTATGGCCTTATCTTACTCTCCTCTTAACAGCAAAAACCTAATGCTGCTGCGCTGACTTCCCGTTCGTTGTACTACACAATTCCCAATGGGCAGTTACGTATATGTCCCTTCCACTCGCCTTTTCCCTAAGATTTCCTGTTTTGTTTGTCCTGCAATTACAACTCCATGTGGGAGGGCTGGGCAATACTGCGACACCTAGAGCTTCTTTTACCTGGCTAACAACCACTTGTGCATAGAGAACTGTACTGTATAGCTCGTCAACAGATCACTACATATGCATTTTAGGAAGAGATCGACGTCTAACCTGGGCCCATAGTCTCGAGCTAACCTGGCTTCACAACATGTGTTTAAACTCTTGCCATAATTGTCGCACACCACCTCGGGGTGTGTGCACGAAACAACAGGTGTTTCGTGGGCGTGTGGCAGGGACTTTTTGAGTGGGGGAAGCTTAGTACTCTGTCACTCCATGTACCTTAATCTTTACAATCACTGTTGTACATACTTGTTTCCATCTCTTTGTGTATCCACCGTCTCTTCTCTGCCTGGTGTATAGGTTGGTGGTTTGTTGCCAAAGGACAGGAGGAGGGCTGGGTACCATGCAGCTACCTGGAGCCCCTCAATGGCGGGCAGGAAGAGGACGACACCATCTCTAGTCTCGGTATAGCTACATACACCATGTCATCCTGTTGCACAAATAGGTTTTAGGTTTAGAGCCGTGAGCTTGAATCTACCTTTCAGGCAGCTGATTTCACTCCCTCAGGAGCTTTTTCAATACTCTCTCTCACTTCCTCCACACCATCTCCTTCACCCATACTCAACTTAAACCATTATCTTAGTTCTATAATAGATACCTGCCTGCCCACAATCCTTCACAAACAATTTCCCTAGGATTCTTCTTCTGTATTTGCAGTAAGTATGTATGCTAGTGGATCATCCTGTCTTCCCCTGCCACCTGAACACACAGATGTGGAGCACTACATTACTATAGAGCGGTACACGGCGGAGGAGGAAGACGAGCTCTCGTTTCCAAAGGGAGTGACGGTGGACGTTCTCCAGAAATCTCTCGACGGATGGTGGCTCATCAAACACGAGGGAAAGGCGGCCCTCGCCCCTGCCACCTTCCTCGTTAAGAAGGAAACCGACAATGAATCCAACCCAGTATGTGGTTCACAATAGTGATGCAGCCATTGTCTAAGTACAATGCAGCAGAGCGAAACACAAGAACACTTTATTTATATTTTCGAATGTCGTTGTGCCAATTAGCCCAAGCTAGTGGAAGCACTTAGAAGACTGCTCAATATCATTGACGAACTTAAGGCACATACCACTCAGTGTGCATGTGTGGCTTTGTTCCCTGTATAAAATTTCCTGCTCTGTCTAAGGTAGTCAGATTTGTTAAACTGTGCATTTCTCCTGTAGCTGGTGGGACGTAAGGCATCCATACCCAACGTGGCGGAGACTACAAAGGAAAACGGAGAGTCTGAGGGCAAAACCAGCACTCTCACCAGAGAGTTATACAAACAGCCTCCTCGCAAGTGAGCCCCTCTCTACAATCCACACTGGAACGTTTAAATGTCCTTGTGGTATAAGGAAGTTGGCCATGCAGTTTGAAGGGATTCTAGTCCCATTTTCCATGCAAGTATATACACACAATGGACAATTTGTCCAAATGCAGTAACACAGTATTAGGGAATCACAGACACACTAGAGCAAAGGAAATGAGACCATGTGCTGTCTGATTTCGAACATGTTTCAGTAGCTGCCCACATTTCCCAATCCAATGAGTGGGAGATGAAAGGGGCTACCTCATGGATGGCAACACTCTAAACGGTAGCTCGGGACAGTGGTCAAATACATCCCCTACTGTGGGATACTGTTTGCAAATAGGAGTGACTGTGGGATGTGTGAAGCCCTGAATGTGAGCATGCCATGCAGTGTCCATGACTCCATGCTGAACTAGCAGGCTACAAACACATGCACAACTGGACTGTCACTTGGGACTGAGACCACAAATTTACTGCGGCACATTATTACAACAATTGGTAACCCAATGAATGCACTTCCTGACCGTTTTAAGTTTTCAATATCCATTTTTCACAACTGCCTGTCAACAGCCTATCACTTAGGGTTGGGAACACTGCCTGCAGTAAACGTGACAAGTACATTTGATCTGAGTGTTATAAAACCACCTACTGCATGTACACCAACAGTTTTCACTATCGTGTTTCGCCAATTGCAGGGCGTCTGTCAGGAAGAGAGTGACCATTAGAAAGTCGAAGCAGAAGGACAGTTCATTTGCTGAACCAACCAAGGGCCTCAAAGCTCCACCTACCATACGAGAGGAGTCTCCCTCCCCAACTCCCTCCAACCAGCCGAGAAAACTCTCCCTTGAGACTTCAGACCCAATCAATATTCTCTGGGGTTCCCCCTCGTCTCCCAAGCACAGCAAAGTAACGAGAAAGCTATCGGATGTCCCCGTACCAACCCAGGAGCAAGTTGAAGTCAGCCCAAAACTCCCCGGACAGAGAAAGATATCTCTCGATGCTGCACTTTCTGGTGCTCCGACAATATCTCCAGACGGCTCACTAGTCCACCAGATGAACAAGGCGACTCTGGTCACCTCGAGCATCACCAGCTCAACCACGGCCGACTCCGACACAGAGGAACACGAGTACTTCAACATCGACAACACGCAGGCCTACCTGAGGGAGCGTAGAGAGCAGAAACTGCGACAGATGAAGGGGAAGAGCCCCGTGAGTCCCACCACTTCTGACTCTGAGGTGGAACGCGAGTCCAGCAGTTCCTTGACCGGGAAACCCGGGGTGTTCTCGGGGAGGGCTCGGGAGGTTCACAGCCGGATTCGCCAGTGGGAGAGACGACTCAGCAGTGACTCTGAGGACGGAGTGTCGAGCCCCACCCGGCGACCTGTCGCGACCCCTCGCGCGAGAAAACCAGACCTGAAGCCCAAACCCAGCCTCTCTCAACAGCAGGTCCCTCCACGGCCACGTCAGAGTCAGATTGTCCGTGCCAGAGGCAAAGTTGGCGCGGCAGGACTAGGAAAGAAGGGAGGGCCACCACCGTTGATAGAGGAACAGTCAGCACAACCCCACCTGCCGCCGAGACCACGCAACACCGAGATCAAGAGGGCCAGACAGGGAAAACCGACATCATCTGCCCCAAACACCCCAATCCCACCCATTTCACCTTCTCCCTCTACGACCCCCACAATTACTGCGACTAACGATGAAGGAGATCACAAAGTTGTCCTTTCCCCAAACAGCGCCTTCAGACCAATCTCCAACAATCGCCGCAGCCCCAGTCCTGGACTCCCAGTGGTGAGGGAAGAGAGGTCAGAGGATGCCGGAACCACACCCACTGCTCTCGGACTCAGAGCTGGAAACCTTCGACCGCGCTCTCCCAGGGGGAAGTCCCCAAGTCGCTCCCCAAGCCCAGCCATCTCCACGGTGACAGCAGGAGAATCACTAGTCCCTCCCAAACCCAGTCGCAAAGACAGACATGACAGTGAGACACAGGAAACTCCGCCCTCTCCCTCCCCATTGTCCCCAAGCCCTGCCTCCTCCCCTATGATGACATTGTCTGAGGGAGGGGGAAACCCCTTCAATCAGCAGATGGCAGAGACTCTCATAAAGTATGTTCTGGCCTCTCAGGATGCCGAGCTGAAGAACGCGCTGCGAGAGTGCATCATGAGCAACCCAGAGGCAGTAAAGACACTTCAGCAATAAAATCACAAGTTGTGTATGATTATATAACCTAACACAAGTCTCTCCACATTTTTGTCTAAAGCAATGTACATATATACCGTAAGTAAAACTATACCTCATTGATGTGTTTTTCATCCTCACTAGTCAAGATCATCTATAATATAAATCTACAGTGTCTTTGAAGTGTTGCACGCTCATTTTATCAACACCAATAAATTTAACGAGAGATTTTGCTTGTGGCTATAATATATAGCTCGTGCTGTTTTGCAACAAGTTTGGTATCATGCAGAGGAGGAGAACAGAGAGAGGTAGAATGATTAGCAAGAGAACAATAACTCGCGAAAGTGTTTAGAAGCGAGCTGTCCACGAAAGAAATTTTGTGGGTCGCGAGATAAAGATAATAGCAGGACCAAGAACCTGTAAAGTTCTCCCTTTTAAAGGCTTACTGCTGTGCAGCATTGGGGAGAGGAAGATCAGGTTGTGTAAGTTTCGAGAGGGAAAAGAGTGATTTTCATTACAGTGATTCCTGTATATATAATAGTACAGACATAAGAGTGAACAGAGTCTGAGAGAGTCCGCTGCCAGGTGAGCAAAGGGGGACACCCTGTGATTTTCCGCCTCTAAATGACTCTCCTCACTTCAAAAAACCTCTTGAGATAGTAGATCTGTCCAAAAGTCATGGCCACCAGGAGAAATGCTTCGAACACTGCCCACCACACGACACGAGAGTTTGTGTTGTCATTGACTGCATGTGAGAGACGGAGCAACACTTTGCGGTTCAAGTATATAGTCGTGGTTCAAGTACCATGTTGTGATAATCATGGGTGAAATTCGAAGTGCAGAAAACCACAAGTGCACAACTATCTAGCATTTTGGACACCCTTGTGGTAGTGAAGAGAGCTATATAATTAACTCAAATGCAGAAAACAATCTCTAAATCATCATCACTATCTATCGCCGTGGCCCCTCTGGTGGTGTTGAAGTGACTGCAAGCTAACAAAACACCACCACAGCAGCCAACAGTGCAGTCGAAACAAACGGAGTAAGAGACACGGACAGACACTCACTCATTCTGTGTATCCTCTCCCGAACCTCCATGTACTCCTGCTCGTGCTTGACGACAGTGAGGCCCTGAGACAACTCCGACACCATCCCCTCCAACTGACTTTGCTCTGGGAATATGCACAGACATAGTAGGGGCCACACACACACACAAACACACACACACACAATATGCCTAAAATACCATGGTTCATTTTTGGGGAGGAATTTCAAATTCTCTGCACACAAAAAAAGCTAAGTATTCGTTATAATAAGTTGATATGAAGAATCACCAGTCTACAATGTTTACTGGAGGTCAACGCCGTATGGCATGTGTAATGTATTGAGCCTCACCGTCCCCTTCAATGCGATCCTTCGGTGCGTCTCCCACGTCCATGTTGAACATGACCACCTTGGGTGTCATGGAGGACATCTGGTTGCTGAAGCAGTACCGGAACTCCCCGTCCATGTGAGCCGCAAACGTGTACTTCCCATTAGACTCCCTGTCTCCACTGTATATGACCCTGTCATCTGGCCCAATTATCTGACATGTACGAACAGTAATGCAGAGCATATCACTCCAATATCCTCAACAACACAAGAATATTGAAGGGTCTATCACGCTTTTAACCAGCCAACCCCTGAGACTTTGCATGTTAATTCCCAATTAAAGCGCACCACTACTGAGTCACCAGGATTTTATTCTGTTGAGGCTCACAACTACAGTTATGTGAAGACTACACACTTTATTGACGGCTAACAGAGTAGTCTAAACCGTCTACCTTTACGTCGATGTCGAGAAAGCCGCCCTCCACGACCTCGAACGTGAGACTCATCTTCATGCCGGAGCTGACGCGGTCGAAGAAGCACTCCTCGACGTGAGCGTCCACACTCGCGAAGTAGCCTCGGACCTGCGGGCACAGCCACAGCCCCAAGAGGCAGAGTAGCAGAACCAGCGCCTCGTGCCTCGGCATCCCTTCGCGAACCCCGATAATTTTTTTAACGACAAAAATGTATCGCGGTCAGTTTTGGCGCATGCGTGCTGTTGTTGTATAGTGCGGGCATGTTCGTTCATAGGTCACATCCCAGCTAGCTAGCTAGCTACAGTCGAGTAGATCTGATCTACTGGACGAAATGACGACAGTATTCCGCTGCAACTTGCGCCTCACGGACGTGCACGCCACGGCAGAGACGGTGGGTGGGGAGTTCAGGAAGCTAACGGATCGATTCGGGATGGAGTGCGCCGCGGAGCTCCTGTCGCCCGTCGTGCGGGCGCTAGAGTGGCTGGAGGCGTACGTGGAGAGCTACCAGCAGCTGCAGACGACCGTGTCCGAGTTGGAGATGGAGAACGACACGCTTGAGTACGAGAGAGAGCAAAGGGCTCTGATGGCAGCTAAGAACGAGGTGCAGTGCAGCAGGGCGGAATGCGCCGTAAAAAAACTGATGGCTTCTCTTGGAAGAGGTGCATGTGCAGGTCTAGACCACAAGGAAATCATAGTCCTCCATGCCTATTAGTGAAGACGCGTTCAGCCCTCCATATGAGCGGCTTGAAAACCAGCCAGCACTATGCACTACAATACCTAAACGTTTAACCAGCTCAGCATTTGGTATAGATATTGTTTCTGTTGTCACTGCCATAGAGTCTGGAGGGGACGATCAGGGAGCTTCAGAAGGAGAACAGGTGCCTGCTAATGGAGATGGATGATATGTACTACAAGAACCAGGAACTGTCTACTTTGCTGGAGTCGAAAATCGACCATCCCGTTAAACACACAGCCACAGTCAGAGGATATATGATGCAAGCAGTTATACCATAAGTTGGAAGACAACTTGCTTGCAAAGTTTGAGGTTTGACAGCCTTCTATGACCATCTGATCATCTTCTCATTAGATTTCCACTAGCAAGTTTTCTTAGTCAAGTGTTGCTTCATGGAGAATGTTGGTTTCACAATACTTTTTACACTGTAGATGCAGTGGGGGAAGAGAGTTTGTCCTCAGCTCGTTGTGCACCCCCCTCCCCACCTCCCCACTCACCTAACAGAGTGGTCCACCTCTCACAGACCTACATCTTCCCTCCCTGCACCTCCCACTCTCCCAACTTCACACCCTCCCCTCCTCCCACCCTCCCTGCCTCACTCCTTCGCCCGTCTCCTGCCGACTCCACCCCCACTCCTACACCTGGACCGCCACTTCACAACCACCCTTCCCCGCCGTCACCAGACTCACAAGAGGGACACCCCTTTCTCCACACCCTCCCTGTCTCACCCCTCCCCTCACCGAGTCTTCACCACTACAGCCCAAAGTCCCATCCACAAACTCCACCAGCTCACAGAGTCATCCAACTTGTTGGCAGATCCTCATCGGTAACTAAAGCAAGGCTCACTATTATGATGGAAGCTCTTCCATACGCTGCGTAATATGCGTGTCTATATTATAGAACAGTAAAGGCTTAACACTTAACCAGCCTCCATAAGTCCATAAGAATTTATGTGGGGGGTTATAATACGAGGCGCTAATACACTATTCTGCTTATTAAGCAGATCCCCATGGCGTCCAAATGGTTAAAATGTGCATAGCTTCCACTAGCTTGCATGGTGATGCAACACAACGCTGGAATGGAAATCCTTGTGCCAAGCTGCACTGCATTGCAACGGCACCCTGGTGCTGACACACGCAGGGGCTAAGCACATCAGTATTGTGATCCTGCCTCACCCTACTATAATATAGCAAGAGTCTATTTATGTACAACAGAATGCTTTGCATTTCCAAGTTTGGATCAGAGAGTGGGGGCTACTGTACCAAGCCCCTACTAATTGGAGTAAGTCTGGTTCCTATATGAGTAACTTGCGGGTTACTAGTGTACACATAATCCTTATTGAGCGTATCACATGATTTACCGGTGAACAAAGCAAGCCTGCCCATTTGTGTGAATTTCACATCCATTCAACGATGTCACACCTAACGTAATATATTATACATGTAAAACTCTGGACATTTTGCACTTGCGTTCACTCACAAAAATATGTAACGTTGAATTTATTGTTCGAGTTGTTAGTGAATTATCACTCCACCTGTCGGACATGGTCAAGGTCAGAGTTCAGACTGGCCAACTCCACCACCACCACGAGGATGAAGACATGTTTGAGAGGTCAAGGGTCACCAGACGACTGAGCAGATTGGAGGCGGAGCTAGAGACAACGACACAGCAACTCGGAGACTTGCAGCGTTCCCGAGAGGTTAAGTCGACCAACAAACTCATTCATTCTTGTTTTACCTTTTGCGGTTCTGCATCCTAATCACAGAGGCTAATGGACGAGAACAAGCAGTTGAAGAGTCGAGTGGAAAAACTGCAGGCGGAAGTCTCCCTTGGGAGCATTGTAATACTGTTAACTATCAACTGCAAGGCTTTCCCTAGAATTCATGTTCCCAATACAGTATAATAAATAATACACATCCAACAAGACAGTGTGCATAAACTTTCCCCAAGTGTCCTACTGCTAATAACCATATCAAACACGCACACACACACAACAACAAACACACTAGGTATTGAACCATAGAGAGCAGCAGCCGACGGAAGAGGCACCCAGATACTACAAGAAGGACGTGGTTCACGTACTGACCGAAAGAAACAGGCTCAAGGAGCACGTCCACTCCCTCCAAGAGGAGCTGGAGCAACTCAGAGAGTGAGGGAGAAACCCTGTAATCACAACAGAGACTGCACCAGCCACAACAGAGACTGCACCAGCTTAGGCCTGGCTATTATATATACACAATGCTCCATATATTGAGATATGATTGTGCTGGCTATGGACGGGTACCCTGCGTACTGTACATACATGCCTTAGTAAACCATCCTCGTATTGTGTACAAACAACTCCTGTTGAGTTTGTAGCTGTAGGTGACTTCAGGGACGAAAACATTTACAGGAGATTATCATAGCAGTTTTTGTTTATCCTTTACCGGGTTGATGTTATCGCAAGCACTTCCCAGAATACTTGATTTTGTGTCCACTGCCTCTATTACAGCGCCTTGAAAAAGACGGCGACTGGTACGAGATCAAGACAGAGAAAGTCCGAAATAAACGGTGTGACTGACACTCGGCGAGGGACGAGACGAATGAACAGTGTTCGTAGCATACTGACCCAGTCCATTTGCCTCGATTCTTACCCTAATTTTCACCCCTTCTGCAATGACTCTCCACAGAAAACACACTCGTGAGCATCACGCTAACAAAATATCATGTGTGAAGTTATGATTTTATGCTGCTTTGTATTATACTATGGACAGATTTTTAATGGAGTGTTATAAATAATAGAGTGTGTTACTTGGGGAGGGTGCCCGGAGGAGGGAGGGAGTGTCTGACTTTAGGTTCATTCAGAATAAGGCCCTGTTCCCTCACACCACTCAGGAAGGCCTTGACCTGCATACACACAGCAAGTGTGAGGAAATAAGCAATAATCAATCGGCGAAAGATATCTGTGCTAGAACTCGTGTGCTTGAAGAAAGCTGTCTTCCAACCAAGTTATTGGGCACATTCAACTTATGAATATGCCATGCGTGCACATTTTGTACTATGCAGCAAAACATGCAGGACAGATGACAAAGTGGAAACCATTATTTGAGTCAGTGTATACCCAACTCACCCTCTTGTGGTTCCGATCGGGCTTGTGCTCCCACATGATTCTGTTCAACCCCATCTCCCTGCACCTCAAGGCCACCACTCTCCCCACGTTGTAGGCCGCGGCCACGTCGGACGTCTTGTAGAGGTGGCGGGCAATGCACAGCTCGGCCGTGGAGGCTTCCACCACCTTGGTCCCAGCGTTATGGTTGACGTAGGCCGACGAATGGCGTGAGGTCGGAATAAACACAAGCCTGTTCAAATTCACAGCGACATTGTGGATGTGAAAAAACAGCAAGTAATAATTATGGGTCAGACCTAAGTGTTTTTCGAGGGTGCCGAGACCATTAACTAAACCATTCAGTTCATAAGAGTATACACGTCCAAAAGCAGTGATAGAACTCTCAAAATCTGGGCATCTCACCAACAAGAAGGCCTGGGTGTGTCTAGTGATATCCATGTGACGGACAGCTCATGTGTGTGTGTGATCAATTCAAAGTGGAGCCACTCCCTGACAGAGCAGCATACAATACTACCAATGCTTGCCAAATACTTCTTCCAGTGGCATTACATCAGTATGATGTAAGGGTTTGGAAGAAGAAAGGCGACCTCTCACCTATGGTAGTAGTCCACTCGTCTGCGAGCTGTTTGAAACCCCTTTGGTTTATCAGCCATGCCCAGAAGCTCTAGACTCCGTGGGTTGCGGTTACAGTGGTATCTGGTCACTCCCAGCTCCTTCGCTGCATGGTTCACATGTTCTTCATCCCTTCCTGCTCCAGACGCTGCCTCTTTTGAATGATATCTGATGTTCATTGATGTCCTTATGATACTAGAGTTGGATTGCAGCAGTGTAGGAGTGGCTACGGTAGATCCCAGTCTTCTGGTGTTGGGCAAAAGTGTGAGTGCCCGGACGGTAGACATTTTGTCGTGACGTCATTCGCGCATGCGCTTTTTGTGGGGGTGGGGCTGCCGTTTTGCACACAAACAGCTGCTTTATTCAAGGGGGGGAGATCCATCATGGAAGTGACGGTTCGAATCAACCAGGTGTGGATAAAGGATGTACAGAGATTCCTGCTGCGCTGTAGAGTCCAGGCGGCGGGCTCTGGAGAGGCACACGAGGGCTCCGTATCAATCGGTCAGCAGCCAGCATCCAAACACGAGTTCTCTTTCACCTTCGCCTCGAGACCCCCACAGCTCTCCTCCCTCTTCGTGGCCACGTCCCCGAGGCACGAGTCCACGCAGTCACGCACGGAGAAAGAGCTGGGGAGAAACGCTGGGACTCTAAACACGGCCGAGTCGGGCTTGGAGCGCACTCGAACGCTGTTGCTCTCTCAGAGGGTACCGGATACGAACGTGGAGAGATTCGCGGGGAAAGTGACCTACGCCGTCCAGCTAAGGGACACCGGCGCCGCTAACATCGCCTCGCTTCTCTCTGACGAGGCCAAGAGAGCGTGCGGACATGTTCTGCCATCTGAATCTCCGTTTGTTAGCGTCGTGTTCCACTTTGCCTGCGCTGGAGCCGATCCGACAAGAGAGCTGGTCGGAGTGGCGAGAATTGGAGACAGAAGCGACGTCAGTGTCAGCACACTGCTGCAGGAGAGCCCCCCACAGCTTGACTATATCCCTATTCTGAAGCCAGTCCGACTCTTCTGTCAGGAGTTCGACTGTCTCGAGCTTCACATTGCTGATTCCAAGAGTGGAGCTGTCCAGTTCAGCTCTTCTCGTGCACTCAGTAGAATAACTCCCTTGAAACCCACCCACCTCAACTACGACAATCAAAGCAGAGGAGGTAAATGTGTGAGCAGTGATACTCAGTCGGATACTAGGGTACCGAGTGTGTCCATCTCTGTCCTGTACACACCATCAACCTCGCAGTACACCAGGTTTCAAGGATTGGAGGTGGCTGTGTGTAACGTGAACCTTACCAGACACGTGGGCCAGTGTAGGGATGTGGTGATAGGGGTGCAGTTGGTTCAGGGCAATAGCAAAGGAAAAACTCCTACACTTAGTGGGCACTCAACTCTCCCTCCATTTCATCCCCCTAGAAAGAAGAGTGGAGCTTCTGTTACCCCTGACTCAGGCCCAGACTACCACCTCTCTTTTCTCCAGTACCACCGAAAAGAACTAAACCAAGACTCTGTGGTAAAATCGTACCACTTCTTCCAGCATCCTCTCCAGAAACCAGAAGGCTTTTACTTGCTCTTCCACGTCTATGGCTCCTCTGGGGCCCAGCTGTGGTGGAACACTGACAATCACACAGTGGCAAAGCTGGAAATCACCGAAGATACTCTAACAATTCTACAGACAGGAGAGCTCCCGTTACTCCACTGGTCAGCCGGTGATAACGACTCATCCCAACCCTGCTCTGTGTCTGGCGTCCTACATTGGAAGTCGAGAAAAACTAAGTTTCTGACGGAGTCTTCTATCAGAGAAGTCTTAGCCAAGCCAGCTCATGTCACTTCAGCTCCTGACGTAAATCGACATGAAGCCAGTAGCCAGTCTATTCCTCACCATGCTGAAGCCCACAGAGCACCCAATCCTGGTAAAGAGGTGCAACTGCATGACTCTATGCAGCAAGAGTCACCTGAAGAGAGTAATACTGGAGACAAGGATGTCGTGAAACATCTAACAGAGTTTGAAACCAGCCTTCGTCAGATGGCTGAGGTTTCCGCAGCCTGCGCAGGGAGAACCGGCGTCTACAGAGCGACAACGAGCAGCTGGTGCAGGAGATGGCTGCACTCAGGTCCCAAGCTGGCACCTCTGGCTCTCTAAAAGACAGCAATCTCCGGGGACTCTCGAAATCAGACCTGATGCTGAGAGTGAGATCCCTCCAGCAGAGTATCGAAGCCGAGAAGAAGACACGCGAGCGTTGCCAGGAGAAGAACAGAGCACTGCAGAGTGACATCTCGGCCCTGCAAGAACTAGAGGCATCTTATATCGAGCTGGAAAGTGTGTACAGGGAGCAACATAAGCTGATCCAAACACTCAAGGGCAAAGTGACCAAGTACCACAAGTGCTCGGACATTTGCAGGAAGCAAGAGACCGTTATCACTCAGTTGGAGTCTCTCCTCGCCAAACAGGCACGAGGTCATCCTTCAGCCAAGGATGACGCCATTTCCTTGCTAGGCAGAGAGAATGCACAGCTAAGGACATTTCTCCAGCAGTACCAGTCCAGCAGTGAGCACGGTAGCGGGCACAAAGCAGCTCTGCTCGAAAAAGACCAGACGATCCAATCACTCAAATCACAACTCTCACAGATGGTCACTCGCTGTAAGGATCTGGAGTGTGGTAGAGGAAGTGGTGGTGGTGGTGGTGCAGTGACAAAGGAGGAGAGGGAGCTCGAAGTGCGTGTGTTTGAACTCGAGCAGAAACTGTTGGTGTCAGAGGCAAAGCTGAGCGCACAGAGCACACAACTTCAGGAGAATGCTGAGAAGTGGATGAAGGAGAAGGCGAGCTACGAATTGCAGTTGGCAGAGTATCGGACTCGACTAGACACTGTTATAAGGTCTGGACAGCAGGCCGTGTCTGCTACTACTGCGCCAATGCAAGTGGAGCATGCCCCCAGCCATAGTGAGAATCAGGGAGAGTCGGAGAAAAAGGGAAGAGGGAAGAAATACTTCTCCGGAAAGACTAGCAAGAAGGAGTTCAGTTTTTGATATGCATTCCAAGTTGCTAAATGTCTTGTGCATTCCGATGAATTGTCCCGTTGCTATCATGAGTTTAGTAACTTAGATGCATGCAGTCCGTGGCCTTAGGGAAAGAAGAAATGCTACGCCACAAGAAAGTGATAGTCGTTTTTGTTGTATTGTGCAGCCTGAGCCTACTCGTAGCGTGGGACCTGCACACTCTCCGACGGGGAGCGGCGGCCAATACCGCTAAGTACACGAGCGATGCAGCGTCGGATAATGAGGGAAAGGATGAAGTGAGCGAGAAAAGAAAAGGCAGAGCAAGGATGATATTCAGATCTCTGTCCCGTGGTGAAGTTGACGATCCTCAGATTGCTCAGATACCTGATGTACCAGTATTGTATGGCAAGAATAAAGAGATCAAGTCAGCCACAAAAGTCACAGCATTCCGAAAAGAAGCTCCAAGTTCTAGCCGTCCAGATATTTATAACTCTTCTGTTGGAAATCAACTGAAACGCCATCCCTTGCAAGCTAACCTTGATGCCATTCTCAAGTCGACACACTCTTCCTCTGAGTCTCCTCGGGAGAGTGGGGTGGAAGTCATAAAGAAGAGTGGGGTGGAGGTCATAAAGAAGCTCCTCCTCAACAACGAGACAGAGAGTGCCAGAGCCCTGTGGATCAAGGCTCAGCAGAAGCACCTCTCAAAGACTGCAGCATCCACCACAGAAGGCCGTGTCTCTCAGAGACAGGGCGGGAGTTTAGAAAACAAGAGACTGTTTCACGTGCAGAGCTCCATGTCCTGGCCCGTCCCGCACTTCACGAGGTCTGACATTCTCCAGTCTCGCTGGGTACAGGAACTAAGGAGCTACCTCGAGACCATCACAGTGTGGAGACAGATATCAGTAGTGACTGCCAACCTTGAGCACCAGGAAGTGGTGCTCAACTGGCTGGTCTCGGCTGCTACCGTAGCCAAGCTCCCTTTGAACAAAATCCTGGTCCTCTCGCTCTCACTACAGCTCCATGATCTCCTCACATCGAAGAAGGTGAATTCGGTATACATCCCGCCTGCCAGCGTCATCAGTAAAGCTGGACTGAAACGCATCACTACAGCATTCAATCAGGTATGTAATGGAAGAAACAGGCGCTACTATTGTAAAACTTTTGGACTGAACTGTCAGGTAGCTATAGACATCGAGCATAAAAGCACCAAACCTTTTTGCTTTGCAGGACTGCTTAAAATAAAACAACATGCTATGAGGTGTGTGTTTATGGTGTGCCTTTCAGATACACATTGTCCGCCTGACGTTATTTCGACTGATGAACCACTGGAAGTACGACGTGGTCATGTATGACAGCGATGCAGTGGTACTCAAGGACCCTCAGTCTCTCTTTGACAGCTATCCGGGAGTGGAGCTGGTCGGATCTGCAGGAAAGGGTCCGGAGAGTATAGGCCACATATGGGGCAGGACCATCTGTACTGGAGTCCTGCTCATGCGCACCTCACCTGCACTTGGTAGGTTAGCAGCTATCCATGCATCTACTTAACTTGGATGCTCGCTGGCTTTTTAATGTCCTTACACACTTTTATAAATCCGACTGTTCAGATAACCTTCTCTTCCCCAAAACATTTACCCCGAAATAAAAGGATATCGAAATCTTTATTATGGATGGACAATTTCTTCTGTCCCATTGATGTTGTTCAGATTAGAGGGGTTCATCTGTATTAACATGCTCTCTAACTCACACTCACACAGAGTCCTGGTGGGAGAAGATGTCTCAGGTGGCCCACCTCCCATTCACTGACCAGGGACTGGTGAACCTTGCCCTCAAATCCCTCCACGTCCAGTGGGACCAACCGAGTCCACTCCATCTCAACAGAGACATGCGAGGCTCCTGCCAGGACACAAAGCTCCGTGCGGTGGTTCTCTCTGAGGAGAAGATCTGTCGCTACAGCTGCGACAGCCGGAAGAAGGGGGAGTACTACGTGTGGCACAAGCCTGCCATCAGAAGGAACAGGACTGTGGAGAACAAGAAGAAGAGGGCGAGGGAGGGAGGGGCGTGGTTACTGAGGGAGGACTGGGCCGAGGTGTCCAAGATGAGTACTCTCACTGGGGTCTCTTGGCTCCTGGCTATATCACACAACACATAGTATGTGCCGGTTCGTGTATTATACATGTTTACGTTTATGTTATATATACGCCAGTTTGTGTATATGGGGTGTGTAATATGCCAACACGTATAGCTTCCCTACTTTCATATGCCAGTTTGTGAATGAACCACTGGGTGTGGTACCAAGGCAATCGCAATCCAAACGCAATAGGACACCTTTCAGAAAAGATTTTCACGTGTTTTATAATGGTTCATTTGGGTATGTTTGTAGTGAACAAAGGGTTAATTAATGTGACATCCTCTGGTCATGCTTGGCAAACCACTCGTCGCTCTTGTCTTCAGCAATGGCCTGAGTAAAATCAAAGAACAAAAAACTCTTGAGTCTCTGCAGACTGTACACAGACCTTGTTGATGAGGTGATCTGCTGTTGGGTCAGCTTGCGAGAGCTCTCGATATGCCTCATCTCCCACAAAACATATTTCATGCCCATCCTATATAGAAAGACATTCAAAAAGACGGTACATGGTGTACTGTTTAAGTGCATAGATTACTATGCTATGGAAAAGTGAAATAAACTGTAAGTGAGGTATGAAGGTAAATGTCTGGCTCACTCACAGGGTCGGCTAAGATCACCACCTCCACAGTAGCCTTTCCCGGGGTGTCCAGACTGACCAGCGGTGTGAGGACTGTCCCTCCTGCCTCCCTCACCTTACTCTCTATCCCTAGAAGCTGTACCAGTCACTTTGAGTTAGTGTGTGTGTGTGTGTGTGTGTGTGTGTTAACCTCTGCTCGGGGGCAGGAGAAAGCAATGCGACCAAAGGCTTCTGCGTGATCGATTTGTTCTGCCAACTTCACCAGTTCTATCATAGCCTGTATCAGCAACATGTGCAGACAAATAATGATAGCTACCTGTTAGTTAGGTTGAGGAATAATAATGATTATTGTGGCAATATGTGTTATAAAGAGAGCAATAATAGCTACCTGCTTTCTCAGAGAAAGTCAGAGAGGCTCTGTCACTAGACTGTGACACGACAGTCATCCCCAGTAGCTCGTGCCAGTACTCTGGTGACAGTAAAAAACACACGACTTAGGGAGGGCTCGATCAGGTTTTTCCACAGTCATAATGTGACGTATGCTATACTGACTCAGTGATGCTGCAAGATCAGACACGCCAAGTGACACCGACTGCACAGGATCTGCATCACCAGAAACAGAATCAAGCTCAACCACGCACGATCGTTGAGGGAGTAGTCTATAATATTATTATACCAGGTTTCTCAGATTGTTTGTCATGTAGACAGAAAGTGTAGTCTCCGGGAGCATTTACAACCAGTGAACCATCCGGAGCCTGTAAATTGGTGGTGTGTTACTACGTACGTCATTCACCGTCGTTCCCCACCACTCTATTATAGCTATGCACCTGTGTGTGGGGGTAATTGTTCTTCCGAACGCTGTCCACTGCCGACTTTGAGAATATCGTGATGTGCTGCACACCATTTCTCATCAGTCACACACACATACAAAATCCATTGAGAATCACAACTACTATATAATTACCTGGTAGTCGTTCCCCTTGGCGTAGTGCTTGATGCCATAGTTATAGGTCAGTTCCACAACAAAGTGGTTGTCCTCGCTCCCATAGCCCACCATTGATTTGCTCCACTTCCCATCATATGGTCTGTATAACATGATAGTCGCTTGGGAGACCTTTTGCAGAAGTATTTTAGAAGCTGACCCACCCGTTGCAAGTAGCTTTGCAGCCCTCCTCGAATTCCTCGTGCCTCAGAACCTAGTGTGTAAGGCCACAGGATTCTTATTTGTAGATGAACAGCAAAACTCAACCTTCATTCCCAGGATCTCCCTGTAAAACTTGGCAGTCGCCGTCCTGTCGGCGACTTTCAAGACGAAGTGGAGACTTCGTCTGGTGGCCATTCTCCTTTTGTAACCCGTAGCCACGCCCTTCTTGGACTAGTTTATCTTGCACGCATGCGCAGCTCGTTGCAGTGCATGTGATCCGTGGGTGGGGCTGCTGGTATGCAAGCAAGAGCGAAGATGAAGGCAGTAGCTTTTTTGCTGGGTTTCGTGCTAGTCGGAGCGTCGGGCTACAAACGAACTGCACATTACGACGACCAGATTGTTGTGAATTGGTGAGGGAAAAGTGGGCACATCACTTTTACTCAAGCGTTGCTGCACTTTTCGCTAACGCAGTGAGCTCACGGAACGTCTGGGGACCGTGCTGGAGCGATACTTTGTTGATCCGTGGGGTTTTGACGAGGAGAAGCGGCTGCACCTTCGTCTCGGCGTCCAGCTCTGGTCCGAGCTGCAGTCCACACTGCCAGAGTGTTCCGTGGTCATCGAAAATGTAGAAGAGTATGTGTCAAAGGCAGAGAAAGAAATGTTTAACAACAGTCGCCCTGAAGCAGAGTGGTTCGAGGAATATGTACGTTATATACCCATGAAGATTGGATAGTTTGTGTCATGTGATTTAGCTAATTAAGCAACTTCACACAGCGCAATTGTGGTTTTCCTTTTGCAGCACGATTACGATGCTATTGTAGGCTGGTACTCTAAGCTGGCAAACGATTACCCAAATTTAGTAACTTTTTACAAGAGTATTGGGGAGTCTTTGGAGGGCCGAGACATGCCAGCAGTCCACATTGGAACCAATTCCAAGTACACCGTCTATTTCCAGTGCCAGATCCATGCAAGTGAGCCTGACCTGCTTTTCCCACTTGCTTGCTTGCATATGCTACCTCTCTTTTCAGGGGAATGGATCTCTGGTGCTGTGTGTATGTATATTGCCAATCGCTTGTGTGAGAGCTATGGCAAAATTGAACAGGTTAGGAGTGGTAGCTCTCGGATCAGTTAGGAGCCCCTTTACATGGGAATCTTTTGCAGGTAACAAATTTGTTGAATGCAGTGGAGTTTGTGTTTGTCCCTCTTGTTAATCCCGATGGATATGAGGTATATTACATTCTGGCAGGAGTTACTATTGTTCTGGAGAGAACCTTTAATTTCTCCTGCAGTACACTTGGAATGGTGACCGTCTGTGGAGAAAGAATCGCAGGGTGAACCCCGGATCATCCTGTGATGGAGTTGACCTCAATAGAAACTATGATGACCACTGGGGAGGGGTGAGCTCTTTTCATATCCCTGCCTTCATGCACAACAACACACACACACTCTCAGGAAGGGAGCTCAAGCAATCCTTGTAGTGAGACCTACCACGGTACAAGTGCAGCATCGGAACCAGAGACACAGTACACTCAAAATTACTTCAAGTAAATATCTTACTTGGGAAAACAGCATGCAATCACGACCCTTTTCTCCGAGCAGAGCTCAGAAAAGCATTGTTGCCGCCATTGACTGGCACTCTTTCAGTCAACTGATTCTGAGACCGTACGGTATGCATGGTGACAGGTGTGTGTTTACTTAATCTTCATTTGTTTCACTTTGACTAGGATGGACAAAAGCAGACTGTCCAGATGAACAGCGGCTGAGTGATGTTGGTCAAAAGATGAGTGACGCGGCTAAAGCTGTGAGCTAAATCTTGTGTCATGTGAAAGCAGTATGATTCGACATTATGTAGATTCACGGAAAGGAGTATGATTCTATAAAATCTATTGATCTCTATGCAACAACCGGATCAGCATCAGACTGGTATATATTTGCTATAATAATACAGATGTGTGGCTGAAGGCTACGCATTACACATTTTCACATGACGCAGGTTCTATAGTGATAACGCAAATGAAGATCATGATTTCAGAGCTGCTGGCTATACCATTGAACTAAGGGACACTGGAAGATATGGATTTCTTTTGCCACCGGAGGAGGTATTATGCAGGTTTAGCTTTACATGTATGACGATACAAATTCTCTTGTGGGCAGATCATTCCGTGTGGTGAAGAGATGTTTCCTGCTGTTCTCTACCTGGCCGAGAGCATGTATATGGACCCCCTTCCCAAGTAGATACATAAACCGTGGAGCCACTAAACAGAAATTTTATTGTAATAATACTAGCTACATGTGCATTTTGTGAGTTTATAATGCTACAGTATTAATCACCACAGCTTAAGTTTGGCTGCAGTTTTAAAGATGGAAATCAGTGAGATCCAAGAGCGGTGTGGGGGGCTGGTGCGCATACGCAAAACGGTCTGCGGCGCCGCCACGAGGGGTCGCCAATAAAAAAAGCTTGTTCGATTAGTGAGATAGTAACGTGGAGAATGAAGATTCTGCTCCTGTGCAGTTTGCTGACACTTGCTGCGGCATCTGAGTTATACCGAAGGACGGAACATTACGACGACCAACTCGTCGTGAAATGGCAAACCAACGAACATCCCGCGAGTGTTAGCTAGAGCTAATAATTATTTTTTGTGTGCAGCGAGCTAAAGGAGAGTTTTACAGAGCGTCTGGGGACCCTGCTGGAGAAGGATTTTGTTGATCTGTGGGGTTTTGACAAGGAGAAGCGACTTCACATTCGTCTCGGCAACCAGCTCTGGTCCGAGCTGCAGTCCACACTGCCAGAGTGTTCCGTGGTCATCGAAAATGTAGAAGAATATGTGTCAAAGGCGGAGAAAAAACCTTTTGACAAGAGTAATCCTGAACCAAGCTGGTTTGAAGCATATGTGAGATCCTACGTAAAATCTTTTCTAAGTATGGCTATTGCTAATGAACTATTATTGTGCAGCATCGTTATGACGATATTGTTGCGTGGTATCAGAGATTGGCTAGAGATTACAGCGGACTGGTCAAGTATGTTGAGAGCATTGGGACGTCTGTGGAGGGTCGAAACATACCTGCCGTTCATTTAAATAAAGATGTATCTGCTGTTCCAAATTACACCGTTTTTTTCCAATGCCAGATCCATGCAAGTGAGGAGATCTAAAAAATGTTTTAATTTTCAGTGATACACGTGTCTTTCTTTAGGAGAGTGGGTTTCAGCACCAGTGTGCATGTATATTGCGACTACCTTTGTGAGAACTATGGCAGAGACGAACGGGCAAGCAATTCCTTGACTTATAGGCACTCCCTATAGACACAGTTCTATACTTACAGGTGACAAAGTTATTGGATGCATTGCAGTTCGTTTTTATTCCAGTTGCAAATCCTGACGGATATGAGGTAGAGAAAATTTACCATCTGTTATAGCACGTAGCTATAAGCACATTCCCTTTCAGTACACTTGGACAAATGACCGTCTGTGGAGAAAGAATCGTCGTAATAACCCTGGTTCGTCCTGTATGGGAGTTGACCTCAACAGAAACTTCAATGACCACTGGAATCAGGTGAAGGTTCTAAACCATTTGATAGTATACTGTGATTTATATCACAATTATTCAGGGAGGAAGTTCAAGTAACCCGTGCAGTAATGTCTTCCACGGTCCTTTTGCTGCCTCCGAACCAGAGACACAAACTACTCAGGCCTATTTTGCGTGGGTCTAGCTGTAGTATTATTATTGTACCGTTGAGTTCACATTTTAAACTTCTGTAGAGCTCAAAACGCTGTGATTGCAGCAGTTGACTGGCATTCTTACAGCCAACTGATTTTGCGTCCGTATGGTACGTTTTGATACACGCTTTGAAGCTATGGATGACGTCCAAATTGCAGGTTGGAGTCAAAATCCTCCCCCTAATGAAAAGCAACTGAAGGCAGTTGGAGATAGTATGAGCAATATTATATATAATGTAAGGCCAATAAGTCAATACATCGTGACTGTTTGCATAAGCATCGCTGTTCTCAGGTGCATGGCTCTGAATATATATCGGAGCCTGCTTCAGCACTCTACGTTGCTTCTGGGGGCGCAGATGACTGGTAAGTTATCCTTATAGCTATACCCCACTCAGACCCACTAATTGTCCAAAGGCAGGAACTTTCTTCAGCTGCCAAAGAAAAATACTTTGTGGTGTTGCCCACACAGGTTTTATGGCGACGAGGCAACCAGTACCAATGAAGGATACAGAGCTGCTAGCTACACATTTGAGCTGAGGGATACTGGTCAATATGAATTCCTACTTCCACCTGATCAGGTAAAGTAGCCATATCCATACAGGGCCTCTGTTCTATATCTTGTGTTCTAGATTATTCCAAATGGCCAGGAGATTGTTCCAGCAGTACTCTATCTGGCTGAAACCATGCTGGAGAATCCTATACGCAGCAGCGGCTGAAATAAGTGGTGTTTTAGTCTTGTGACCTGACTACAATTGCCTTTTGCTTAGGTTAGCTAGCTAGTTTAGTATTAGCTGTATATTGTTGAGAACAAACATTTTTGTCGTCATTGTCAAGTGTAATACAGATCAGTAGCTACGTTGGTAGCCTCTCGTACCGCGCGCACCGAACCCCGCGACTACTAATGTCTGCGGAGCCACGCCTTCCTCAGTGGCTATATACTCTTCGCGAGGCCGCGCGCGCAGCTAGAAATCATCATTCTCTCTTCTCTTCTGTAGCTGTCTATATGCATAATATGTGACGGCGGCCGGAGGCAGGGTATCGGAGGACCGTGCGCGCGCATTTTCGCGCTTTTCCGCAGAGGACCGAGTTTTCTATAGGTAGTTTAAAGCGAGCGAAACTTGCTCAAATTCACACCAGTAAATATAAACGTGAAGAATGAAGATTCTGCTCCTGTTGCTGACACTTGCTGCGGCATCTGAGTTATACCAAAGGACGGAACATTACGACGACCAAATCGTCGTGAAATGGTAAACCAACGAACACCCCGCGAGCGTAGCTAGAATGTTTTGTGTGCAGCGAGCTAAAGGAGAGTTTTACGGAGCGTCTGGGGACCCTGCTGGAGAAGGATTTTGTTGATCTGTGGGGGGTTGACGAGGAGAAGCGACTTCACATTCGTCTCGGCAACCAGCTCTGGTCCGAGCTGCAGTCCACACTGCCAGAGTGTTCCGTGGTCATCGAAAATGTAGAAGAATATGTGTCAAAGGCGGAGAAAAAACCTTTTGACAAGAGTAATCCTGAACCAAGCTGGTTTGAAGCATATGTGAGATACGTAAAATCAAGTATTGCTATTGCTAATGAACTATTATTGCAGCATCCTTATGACGATATTGTTGCGTGGTATCAGACATTGGGCAAAAATTACAGCGGACTGGTCAAGTATGTTGAGAGCATTGGGATGTCTGTGGAGGGTCGAAACATACCTGCCGTTCATATTACAAACATACTGGCTGATCCCATTAACACTGTCTATTTCCAATGCCAACTCCACGCAAGTGAGCAAATCTAGCATCCTTTTCATTAATTATAATAATCATGACTGTCTTTAGGGGAGTGGATTTCAGCAGCAGTGTGCATGAACATTGCCACCTATCTCTGTGAGAACTATGGCAAAGACGAGCAGGCAAGCAACCACAGCTATGCAATCCACAAAGCAATATATTTTATACCTGCAGGTCACCAAGTTGCTGGACAGTTTGCAGTTTGTTTTTGTACCTATTGCAAATCCCGATGGATATGAGGTAGCTAGAGGCAATTGCTGTACGCAAGCACGCAACACCACTGAATGATTATAATATGTATCTCAGTATACTTGGACTGTTGACCGTCTATGGAGAAAGAATCGCAGGGTGAACCCCGGATCATCCTGTATGGGAGTCGACCTCAACAGAAACTACAATGACCACTGGGATGAGGTATATAGGAAGTCCCTAAAAATCGGCAAACTGCAATGTGTTTAGTATATATGCTGTTTTTTTCCAGGGAGGGAGTTCAGGAAGCCCATGCAGTCAAGTCTATCACGGCTCTTTCCCGGCCTCTGAACCAGAGACACAGACCACGCAGGCCTACTTTGGGTAGGTTTTTAGCTACCTTTGAGATGCTAAACAAATTTGGCAGGGACTTCAAACAATATCGAGTAGCTACTTTGAACCGAGGGAGGGCAGATAATTACTTTACGTGTGTATAGCTACTGCAAAGTGAAATGCCAAATTGATAAAATTGGTATACACATTTTAGTGACATTCCTATATAGTGTATTTTAACTATAGAGCTCAGAATGGTGTGATTGCAGCCGTTGACTGGCATGCTTACAGCCAACTGATCTTGCGACCATATGGTGAGGCATCTTTGTGATCACACTGCCATTAGCTATAGCTAACTTAACACAGGGTACACCATGAAACCATCCCCCAATGAGGAGCAACTCAGTGCTATTGGTGCTAACATGAGCCAAGCTATATATTCTGTGAGGAACAGTATAATTATGCTCATTTCCCTTCACTTTGTGTTATTATACCTTGACATTCTCAGGTGCATGGCTACACATACACATCGATGGCTGCTTCAGGACTTTACCTATATAGCTAGTGGGATTGCCTCAGACTGGTATGTATATATATACCGTATTGCTTCACTGTCAAAGTAGTGTAATCTCACAGTTTCTTCCGTCCTTCAATCCTCCATATCAATAAACTGTAAATCTTAAGGTTCTATGGCGACGAGGCAACCAGTACCAATGAAGGATACAGAGCTGCTGGCTACACATTTGAGCTGAGGGATACTGGTCAATATGGATTCCTACTTCCACCTGATCAGGTAGAGTAGCTATATTCATAACACCATCTGAAGTTCCTCTGTTCTCTATATAGATCATTCCAACTGGCCAAGAGATTGTACCAGCAGTACTCTATCTGGCGGAAGCCATGCTGGAGAATCCTATACGCAGCACCTAAAATGCTTCACTCTATAGTTATGGACACAGCTACGTACTGTAATACCATTTTGATGCCAATTAATGTACGCGCGATCGCGACGCGCTACTGCACCCTCGCTGCGCATGCGCGCCGGACAATTATTAGCGTGTCGTCGCGTATAAAAATGCGCTGCGCACAGGGCCGGCCATTGTAGGAAAAAATGAAGAAAAGTGCAGAATTACGTTCTCTGATCTTGTGCGGATTTTTAGCTTTGTTTTCAGCGGCGGTGGAAACGGCATCAAACTACCACAGGACCGCGCGTTACGACGATCAACTTGTCGTGCAATGGTGAGGCATGCCTTCCATTATCACGCATCATACATATGTACTTCTTGCAGTGATTTCGCCGACAGTCAGCGACTGACACATTTTTTGGAGCTTGAATTTGTGGACCCGTGGGGTTTTGATAATGGAGGGAGAGTTCACGTTCGTCTCAGCGACCAGCTCTGGTCCGAGCTGCAGTCCACACTGCCGGAGTGTTCTGTAGTCATCGAAAATGTAGAAGAGTATGTATTGGCGGCTGAGATGCAAATGATCAGCAAAAGCCCTGACATAAAAGCAGAAACTGTAAGATCAAAAGCTATTCATGCACAATACATTTGAAGTTCTAACGTAATTGAAAGCATAGACATACAGTGATGTATCCCTGCAGGAAGAAATGGGTGCTTCTAAGGGCCAAGAATGGTTTAAAGTATATGTGAGTATAAGGGCTGTTATGGTATTCGTATTCTTTTACACTTTTGTTCTGTGAATGCAGCATCCTTATGAAGATATAGTTGAATGGTATCGGAACCTTACTCGTGACTATAGCAGTATTTCCCGGTTTGTGGAGAGCATTGGAGTTTCATCTCAGGGACGAAACATACCTGCTGTGCATTTTAGTGGCACTGAAACTCCCGAATACACAGTGTATTTTCAATGCCAGATTCATGCCAGTAAGTGGGTTCCAAACTCACACACCCAACCATGCCTAATTGTGAGTGGTACATTGTTTAGGAGAATGGATATCTGGAGCTGTGTGCATGTATGTTGCACAGCACCTCTGTGAAAATTATCAGAAGAAACAGAAAAAGGCAAGTAGGAGTAGCTATTATGCCGTATAGCACACAGACGTTCATAGAGCATAATTATAGGGTGTGTGGTTTTCAGAGATGTAGCTATCCACAAAATTATGTGTCACGAAATAGCAATTTCAAGAATATGTAATTAATAGGTGACTCAACTCCTCAACAAGCTGGAATTTGTCCTTGTGCCTATTGTAAACCCCGATGGATACGAGGTAAACAGTATTGTTTTGCATATTTATTAGACACAATGTCATCATCATTTTCTCAGTACACTTGGAATGGTGACCGTCTGTGGAGAAAGAATCGCAGGGTGAACCCCGGATCATCCTGTATGGGAGTCGACATTAACAGAAACTACAATGACCACTGGGGAGGGGTGAGCTGTGTAAATGCTCCTTTTACCCCCCTCTCTCTCTCTCTCCTCTCTCTCTCCTCTCTCTCTCACTTCTCTCTGTCAGATTGGGAGCTCAAACTCCGCCTGCAGTGAAGCATACCGTGGTGAAAGTGCAGCATCTGAACCAGAAACTCAGGCCACTATGCAATATTTCAAGTATGCAATATTTCCAGTATGCAATATTTCAAGTATGCAATATTTCAAGTAGTGCTATTATACATAAAGCTACGATACACAACAATATTATAATTACTCCACAGGGCGCAGAACATGGTCATTGGAGCCATTGACTGGCACTCCTACAGCCAACTTATCCTGAGACCATACGGTAGTATAATATATAAATTATATTATACTGGCATAGCAACACCTATACCTCATAGTGAAAGCCAAGTTTATTTGGAAAGCACTATGGCTCCTTTAACATACGTATAAATATTTTATTATAGGCTGGAGTCATGATGAATGCCCTGATGAGGATAAACTAAAGGACATGGGTGACAAAATTAGTGCTGATATAAAAGAAGTGAGACCATGTTCCATGTATGACAGGTATATACTATGAAGTATCTCTGACCTTTTCCCAGGCTTCTGGTAGTAATTATACATCAGAGAGATCAGCTGACCTCTACCTTGCCTCCGGTGTTGCTTCAGACTGGTAAAACTCTGAGCATGCTGTATGTATGGTCAATACTTGTTTTTTAACTTAAAGGTTTTACGGCGAGGAAGCAACAAGTGAAAATGAGGGCTACAGAGCTGCTAGCTATACCGTTGAGCTGAGGCCGAGTGGGACTGCATCCTATGGATTTGAGCTGCCATCCGATCAGGTCAGATGAACGAGTAATTGGCTATAAGCCTAGCTACTCTGCCACTGAATTGGAGGATAAAATCACATAAAGGCTGAAGACAAAGGGTCAATGGTCACTGACTGTGCTGCCCTGGTTAAAAAATCAACAACGCTTGCCATCCTTTTCTTATCTAGATCATTCCAACTGCTGAAGAAGTTGTTCCTGCTATTATCAGTTTTGCAGAAGCAATTCTGGCTGATCCCATTGTCAACAATTGATTGTTTTTAGCCATGCATTAATGCCTTCGAGTCTGTCGTCCCGCGAGTCAAAGTTCAAAGTTCATGTTTGAATGGGCCCGCCCGGGCATGACATGTATACAGACAAGTTAAAAAACATGTAGGAAGCATAACACATGACTGAAGAAGGTGGGGTCCATGGTAGTCAAAGAGTCAAGTAGAGTGCACCACGAGTTGTCACTTTTTGTGTGGTTGGTTAATACATGTTCGGCCAGAGTTGGTTTGTCCAGATCAGCTGTATCGCACAGAGGACATTTGCTGGGTGAATGATCTGGGTAGGTAATCACCCTCACAAGGTTCTTCATCCCCTTGATAACTGAGGGGCCGTGATCCAGTGCATGATCCCACTTCTTCCACCCAACACACTCGGCGATCTTGTGCACAAACTGATGTTTGGAGACCTTTTTTAGCAGCAGCAGTTGGTCTTTCTTGTTGATCTTTTGTGCATTTCTGATGATGTTAAGCCCCTCTGCGAGCTCATTGGCACTCAGTATGTCTGATGTAAAATTCGACTTGTACCTCTCCTCCAGTTCCCTGCATTCCCTCACTAGTCAGTCGTGCTTGCGCATGCGCATACCCTCCGCCCCGCGTGCTGCCGGTTCTCTCCACCACCAGATTGAATGAGCAAGGGAGAATATTAGTACCATTCATGGTCAACTGGAACCTTGTCTCTACCCACCTTCACAAATCCAACCTATCTTCCTCTCACACATCTGAGAGTGAAGCCCATGCCATCCTCTCTACCATCAATTACATCACGTGTCAGGAAAGGCTCCTACCTCGAGTGCTAAGTAACCTCCAACCAACAACTATCCTGTTCCAGACCCCCTGTCTCATAGATACCCATTTGACTATGCTAACGTTTCTCTGCCTCCAGAAACATTCCATCCAAGCGTCCAGGTTGGAGCCCCACTCTAAAAGCGGCTAGCAGAAGATGTAACCGGGTCTGGGTAGAGGCTTGGAGGCCCCGTGATTCTAACCACTCGGGCTGCCTACAAACAGTCCAAGAGAGAGTTCAGAAGTGGCCGGCACGGAACGGAGAACTCTCACTGCCCCGCCCGTATTCTTCCGCCACTGCTGGCCGCCTCTGAAATTGCGCCGTCACAGGAATCTGATCCGCGACCGGCGGTATAATACATCCTCGGCACTCGGTGGATCGACGATCCACCTCTACAGAGCGAGTCATCCAGTTTACAACCTGCACGCTGAACGTCTTCGCCGTCAACTTGCCCGCACTCAATCGACTACCCCATAGGCTGCAGTACTCACCTTCAGTGGAGCGTTATAAAGAAGAAGAAGAAGAAAAGGGTGGGGATCTGCAAGACGGAAGGGCGGATGTTCCACGATGGTGATAGAGCGTAAGAAGTGGATCCTGAGGTGTGTTTGTGTCCTGGTTATTGTCGCGACGTTGTTTACCTTCCGCGCCAAATTCGGACCGGTCCCCCTGAATGCCGGACAACAGCACTACCGACCGTCGACTTCTACAAGTCCAAAATTCAATCGTACTAGCTTCCAACCTCACAAAGGCAGTTTTACTTCTTTCGACAGTGCTCCATCTCAATTTCTAGTAACACAGAGTGAGAATAAGAAGATTATCATCACTAATGCTAGTCTCAACACTTCCCTTCAATCTTTGGACCCGTTTAGCACAGAGGTTACCATGATGGACTCACTTGGTGGTGGATCCACGTCACCTGTGCTACTAAACGCTACATTTGCTCCACTAACCCCGAATGACATCAGAGACCTAAGGACCTTCGTCATGTTCGTAGGGTTTGGTAAGACTGAACTTTTCAGTGTGAAGCCATGCTAAGTTGGACATGTGAGTTGATTCCAAGTTGGAGAGTATTGTCACAGAATGACACATTGCATTCCAAGTTTGTTCTGAGGTATCCATGAACATTGAGCTTCTATAACACCCGGTGCATTTAGCCCTGTAAGCTCATAGATAGATCTCTGTTGCTTATTGGCTGGAGGTGCCAGATGGGGAGTGTAGAGCTTGGCAGGAGGTGGACTGTGAGGGTCTGTGGTGCTCGCTGGTGTTGCTGGTTGTCTTGCTGTGTGCTACTGTTGTGAGAGATAGGAAACCCAGCAGAGGAGAGGCAAGGACAACTGTCAGCTGTTATTAGGCAGCCTACATACCGTCCACTGGATCAGTCTTTAGTGTGTGACGCGAGTGGCTCTGGTGGCTCAGAGTAAAGTGGCCACATGAACGAAGAATCGATGTGACTGAAAGCCTTTCTCGTCTCTAATCCACTGAACAAAGGGTGAGTCAATCCCACCATAGAATCTGCGATTGCGCATCAGCCGCATGAAGAGCGTAGTGCCAGAACAACAAA